CCCTCAGAACCCCCCAAGCCCCCTCACCCCTCACGCCCCCCCAGTTCCTCCTCACCCCAAATCTCCTCAGACCGCCCCTGACACCCCCAGCCCCCCCTGTACCCCCCCGGCCCCCTCTCCCCGGGGTCTCACCGCCGTCCCCGTCCCCCTCCAAGGTCCCCCCGGCGCCGCCCGGACCCTCCTCGGGCCCCTCCGCCGCCATCGCCGCGCGCGGGACCCGGATGTGGCCGCACAGAGCGGCGGGAAGCGGCAATGGGCGGGCGGCGCCGCCTGGCGGGCGGGAGGACCCGCAGCGCGGGGATCGATCCCCCGGAAACGGCACCATAGAGACGGGCCGGGGGGACGGAGCGGCTTCCGGGGCCGCCACCGGGCCATAGAGAGGGCCGGGAGCTGGGGACACCAGTACAGACCAGTACAGAGGATTCCTGAACAACCACAGCGACTTTGGGGGCAAGAAACCAGTACAAACCAGTACAAACCAATATAGAGTGCAGGGGGCTCTTGACCGACCACAGAGACTTTTGGGGCAGGAAACCAGCATAAACCAGTACAGACCAGTGCAGGGGATTCCTGATTAACCACGGAGACTTTGGTGCTGGGGGGAAACCAATACAAACCAGTATAACCCAACAGAAACCAGTGCGGGGGGTCTGGACCAACCATAGAGACGGGGGGAAAAAAACCCATAGAGATGCGGGCGCGCGCGGGCGCCCCCTGGCGGGCGGGAGGAGCTTTCCTGGCACCTTTATTTCGTATTTACATCGGAATCGGTAAAAATTTGTACATTATTTACAAATTAAATAATCCCGCCCCCGCTCTGGGGGCAAAAGGAGCGATTTGGGGCCCAACGGCCCCGGCCCGGCCCCCGAAATGTCCTTCCCCCCCCTCCCCCTCCCAAAATAATGAGGAAATTCCGAGGAATCCACCCCAAAAAAAATCAACCAGAACCAGCAGCCAAAAAAATGACGATTTTGGCTCAAAACGGGCAAAAAAAAAAAAAAAACACGACAGAAAAGGGTTAAAAATGAACTCCCCATTTCGTTATTGCCAAATCCCTCCTTGGGCCGCTCAAAAAATTTAAGGGGAGGGAGAAGAAAAGTCGGCTTCGAACCAAAAAAACAAAAATGGCATTTTTGGCTCCTTTTTGCCCCAAAACTCCGCCCGTTCGGGGGCAAAAGGCGCCGTTTTCCGTCGATTCCGAGCGCGGGGTTTTGTGGTTTTGTTTTTTTTCCCTGAGAATTTTGGGGGGTCCGAGAGGCACTGGGGGAGCGGCCGCCCCGGAATCGCGGGAAAAACTGGGGCAAAAACGGGCAAAAATGGGCAAAAATCAGCCAAACGCAGCGAAACCAGTGGGAACCAGTTTGGGGGTCACACTGGGGGGGGTTAATACTGTTCATGGGGTTGGGGGGAAAGGGGGGGGGGG